GCGTCGCCCACAGGTTCGCCTTCGTCTTCTCCGCGTTGTGCACCAGCGTGCACTTCACGCCGAGCCCCTCCAGGTACGCTTTGCAGTAGAGGATGAGGTCGAGGTTCGAATTGCAGCTCGTCGTGGCGAAGGCGACAAGCTTCGAAGGCGTTGAACTTCCTAAACTATCGTCTAGTAACCATTACTTATAATTCAGAAAGCAACTAACAGAGACAAAAACAAGATCATTTACTAAGGATTTATTAAATCTTTAGTGCTAAACCAAAGCAGATAGAGGGCATGCAGCTTTTCTAGCGCCAGACCCCCATATGAGAGTCCTCGTGACCACGAGTCCGCGGAGTTTGATTTTGTTAAATGGAAGGATAACATGGAAGAAGGCTGCTCTTTGAACGGGACATGTACATGTTTTCCACATTGCAATCGAAAGAAGAGAACCGTGAGAAAAAGGCACCACCATTATTGAGATTGCCTATACTTCTATTAGTCAGGACTCTGTCATGAGCTTCTACAAACCAGGTCACGGTGGATTAGTTGAAAAATTTCACATTTCAAAGTTGTCCAGCCCCCATATCCCGTCACGAGGCGGCGAGGTTAATATGGGCGCGTGAGCTAACAACAAATGATAAAGGAATTGATTTTTTTTATGCTTTTCATCCGCGATTTTTAAAGGACATAAAAATGGTGAATCAAAAAAAGAAAATGGCAAATGACATTGAGTCAAGAACCGTTAGGCTCCCTCTTTAAGCACACTTCCGTGCAGAAGAAACTATGGAAACAAAACTTAAACATAATGAGAAAAATGACCCAAAGCAGCAAGCTGTGTCTTCCTCTTACCGGGTCTAATTCCGGAGTCGAGCTTTCCTTTCATGTAAAACAGGGGCACAAATTCAAAGCAGAAACCCTTGTTTGTTTGTACCGTGTACGATTTTTTGTGGCTCTTCCATCATTGTCACGTCCAGTACCCTCCGAGCAAAAAAAAAAAGCATGAGCCGAATTCTCAGTAAAGTTCTCAGCAGAGAAACACCTGTAGTCCAAAGCACCGCACTAGCACCACGGCAACCAACAGTGAATCTTAACTAAACGTGACAGATGATAAACAGCGGAAGACGAGCGATGCCAAGCCCAAATGTACGCAGGCATACAATAGATACAACGTTTAAGCACAAAGGCAACCATGTAGACTAAGAGCCAAGCCATACCACTAGCATACAGACAAGTTCCTTTTTTTCTGTTTCAATAATCTATCGCAAGCCTCGCCGTTGACGCT